AAAGAGATTAATGTTGAAGTTCACTTCACTTTAACAGCTAAAGTGACAGAGGTTGGTCTTACACCACCTTTTCCCATTAGGACAATGCGTTATGAGGCAGAGTTTGGATATTAGGAGAGCATTGGACAGCACCCATCATTGAGTGACTGTGGTCTCCCTTATAAGGCACATAAATAGAATGAACTTTTGCCCTTAGAGAAGTGTGTAGTCATGAATGATCACATAATTATACATGCAAGGTTGCCATTAATGTGCATGATGAGTGTAAGCCAGGTCTAAACACAAGACATTCATGTTGATTTGATTTGATTTATTATTGTCACATGTACCTAAGTACAGTGAAAAGTTTTGTTTTGTGGGCATTACAGGCAGATCATAACATACAAAGATTATAGGGTAATTGAACAGAGCAAGGAATACAAAGTTATGGCTGCGAGGAAGGTGCACAAAAAGCAAGATCAACATTAGATTTGAAATTTGAAAGTCCTGTTAAGGAGTCTGATAACAGCAGGAAAGAAGCTGTTGCTTTTAGTTTCTATACTTTCCTCAATTGGGCATGTCAAGCCAAGGCTGCACTCATGAATGTAAAGAGGTCAAAAAAGATCCATGACATCTACTGCTTTCTAGGATGCGTCTCAGAGATGAGCACAGCCTCAGCAGTATAACTTCTATCATCCTTAAGATGCATAATGAGGCTGCAAAACTCTAACTTGGAGACCACTTTACCAGGTCCTCTAGCTAAAATGGGATTGAGAGTGTTTATTTTTTACAGAGGTGAAAGGGTCTTTACAATGATGTGTCACCTCGTCCTAGAGTCTGTAGCTGGGCTGAAGGGAGCCCGCTCTGCAATAGATCTTTTGGCTTGAAAGATTTGGGCAGACAGTCCCAGGGACACTTGTGACTAGACAGCCCAAGGACACAAACATTAACCAGCCCAGATTCATTCTCCTGGGCTGCAACTTCTCCAAGATTGGAGATTGCAGGGAGAGTGGAACTGGAGGGACTGGGCACCTCTAAAATGCCCTCAGAGGAAATATTTGGAGGGCCCCTGTGCGGTTCTTCCTCTGTCTAAGTGCCTATGGCACCATTCTGTCTTCTTGAGAGGGAGAGGAACCTGGAATAAGGTTACCCCCGCTTTTCATTGTGCAGTCTCAGCATCCCACATAAATGATTCCAACCTCTCCAGACACGAGGACCTTCTTATATTTTCAGTTGGCAAGATCTGAGCCTTTACTTAGAAATAACATTTAGCTGTGAAGAATTTATCATGTAGATTTCACTAAATGTGTGAACCAATTTTCAATCAACTAAGTTATGCACACAAAGTAGCAGTTTAAATTAGAGGACGACCCATAAGAAGATATAGTACGCTGCTTAGATTGTACTTTGATACTATTCTACTCATTGATGTACAACAGAGGTCAGTGAACAACAGTAAGAGGTTAAATTCTGATGCTGCAAGGGATAAATATTTTCTTTCTCTAAGTTCTGATTATTGACATATTCAATCATGAATGTGGAACATCTTCAAACACTAACGCAATTAAAAGATGGTGGAGGGAAGGAAACAGGTGCAGAGGGGAAAATCCAAACACAGAAAGAGCAGCAACCTTGGAGGAAAACATCCTCTGTAGGTTTCGGGAAATAACAATTCATGAACCCATAGACAAGGAAAATTGGCCACTGGTGATATTTTGCACACTGATCTTAGCATTCTTACAATAACGCTGAGACAGATATACAACAGAAGGTTGATTGAAACACCAGCTACTAGACCATTGCTGATGTATAAAATAAGCTGCACTCTTGTTTGTTTATCTCTCGCTTACTCCCACTCCCCTGCCTCCTCACTTGCACTCATACCTCCAGGACTCCAATCAATGAGTTGGTCCCAATGTGTAGTTACTCTTGAGTAAAGAAACTCTCTGGCGAGGGAGAGACTGGGTTTTATAAGGGAAGAATGCAAATGCTGGATATGTCAATTAAAAATAAATTGGGGTGACAGATCAACCCAAGTGTAACTCCCCTTTACCCTGGATGTCCAATTTCCCTGCAACCCCATCCCCTGATGGAATAGTTTGAGAGCTCTTGGCTTCTTCCTTGGATTCTAAACAGTTTCCACTGACTGCAACCCTCCTCTGCCAGGCTGAACATTTCCACTAATGGAACAACTTCTCCTTGAACTTATCTCACGTCTTTCAAAAAACAATGAGGTTGCTATAGGTACCTGCTTGGTTCCTAGCTATGCCTGTCTTTTGTAGGACATATTGAATATTTCCTGTTCCAGATGTACTCAGGCTGATCCCTCAACACTTTTTTCAATGGTGCAATGTGGGTATCGCTGGCTGGCCAGCATTTCTTGCCCAACCCTATTTGCTCTTGAGAAGGTGGTGGTGAGCTGCGTTCTTGAACTGCTGCAGTCCACCTGCTGTGGGTTGACCCACAATGCCATTAGGGAGGGGATTCCAGGATTTTGACCCAGCGACAGTGAAGGAACGGCAATATAGTTCCAAGTCAGGATGGTGAGTGGCTTGGAGGTGGTGGTGTTCCCATGTATCTGCTGCCCTTGTCTTTCTAGATGGAAGTGGTTATGGGTTTGGAAGGTGCTATTTAAGGACCTTCAGTGAGTTTCTGCAGTAAATCTTGTAGATAGTATACATTGCTGTGGTGGAGGGAATGGATGTGATGCCAATCAAGCAGGTTGCTTCGTCCTGGATGGTGTCAAGCTTCTTGAGTGTTGTTGAAGCTGCTCTCATCCAGGCAAGTGGGAAGTATTCCATCAGACACCTGACTTGTGCCTTGTAGATGATGGACGTGCTTTAAGGAGTCAGGAGTTGACTTAGTCACCACAGTATTCCTAACCTCTGTCCTACTCTTGTAGTCACCGTGGTGGGTCCAGTTGCATTTTTGGCCAAAGGTAACCTCAATGATGTTGGAAGTTCAGTGAAGTTAACACCATTGAATGTCAAGGGGTGGTGGTCAGATTGTTTCTTATTGGGGTTGGTCATAGCTTAGCATTTATGTGGCACGAATGTTACTTGCAACTCTGTTGGCCCAAGCCTGGATAGTGTCCAGATCTTGTTGCATTTGAGCATAGACTGCTTCAGTATCTGAAGAGTCGTGAATGGTGCTTAACATTGTGCAATCATTGGCGACCATCCCCACTTCAGACCTTATGATGGAGGGAAGGTAACTAATGGCAGTTGGTGACAGATAAATGACAGTGTGTCCTGTTTTGTTCTTTCCCTGAATTGAAATACTTAATCAGCTTTGTTTCCAATTTCCAATCTTCTCTCAGTTTCACATAGTCCCTCTCCAACTCTTCTCTTCCTTGATTTCTCTGTCACCATTTCTGGTATTGGGAATCAATACCCACAGACTGTTTCATCTACCTTGACTATACTTTCTCACACCCTGGCTTTCTGGAAGGATTACACGCCATTCTCCAGTAATTGTTCCGATGATACAAGTTTCCACCTTAGTGATTCTGAGATGTCATCCTTTTTCCTCAATTGAGGATTTGGCACACAGTTGTTGATAGCACCCTTGACCATCTCCACCGTATTTCAGCAATTCTGCATCTCCCTCTCAGAACCACATTAAAGTTCCCTTTCAGCTCACCCTCATCCCCCCAGCCTCCACATTCAATCATCATTTTCCACTGTTGCCACATCCAGTGTGCTGTCAATACCAAACACATCTTCCTCTCCCTTTCAGTATTCTGAAGGGACTGTTCACTCCATGGCACTCTGGTCCACTGCTCAATCACTCTCAACAAACCCTCTCCTTCCACTGCATCTTTTCATGCAGGCACAGACGATTTAATACTAGCTCCATTATCTCTTTTATTCTCATCAACACTCCTTCGCGGTGAATTACTGTCATTCTTTCAATGTATTTGACTGGTATTCACTGTTCACAGTGCCATCCCATTACCCTGAGAGATTAAACAGAGATTAGGTGACTGCTTTGTGGATAACCTCCAGCCAGGTTGCAAGCATGGCCCTGAGATTCTGGTGGCCTGTAATTTTAATTCTTCACCTTACTCTAACACAGCTTTGTGTCCTTAGAGAGGTGACTGTTTCAGAGAATCTCAGCATAAGCTTGAGAAACAGCACCTCGTGTTTGATTAGACAGTTTACACCCTTCCAGACTCAACATTGAATAACCCACCACCTCAGTCTGGGTGCTGACCCTCTGTCTGGGTGCTCCTCTCTGAAGCTGGCTGCCATCCACTCTCTCAATCTCTCTGGGTATGTCCCCTCTCCCTGGGTGCACCTGTCTGCCTCTAACTGTAGCCCTTAGCTCTGAATGCTGCCCTTTTTCTTTCCAGTTGCTGCCTTCTCTCTGAGTCTTTAGGGGCTGCATCCTCCTCTGGGTGTTGTACTCTTTCTCTTTGGTTAGCGACCTCTCTCTGGCTGCTGCCTTTCTCTTGTTGCCTTCTCTGTTTAGGTAAGGCCCATCTCTCTGAGGGAACAGCATCATTCATAGAGAGGGAACTCTACCCACAGAATGGGGAGGTCTCGCTAAACCTATACAAGGCACTACTTAGACCATATTGTGTACAGTTTTGACCCCCTTATCTAATGAAAGACAAATGACATTGGAAACAGTCCAAGACGTTTCACTAGTTTGATCCCAGGTATGGATGGGCTGTCTCACGAGAAGAGGTTGAGTAGGTTTGAGTTTAGGAGAATAAGAGGTGGCCTTATTGAAACATACAAGCCCCTTTAGGGCATTTGACACAGTAGATGCAAAGAGTTTGCTTCATTTTGGAAGAGAGTCTAGGACCCGAGAGCACAGTCTCAGAGTAAAGGGTTGCCCATTTGAAAGAGGTATTCCTTCTCTGAGAGGGCTGCGAAACTGTGGAGTGCTTTACAACAGAGGCCTGTTGAGTCTGCGCCATTGCATGCATTCAAGGCTCAGATAGGCAGACTTTTAATCAGTAAGGCAATCAGGGGCTTGGGAGGGGAGGGGAGGGGAGGGGAGGGGGTGGACGTGGAGTTGAGGTGGATCAGGTTACTTCAATGAATGGTGAACAGACTCGACGGGCTGAATGGCCTCTCGGTTTCCCTCGGAGATGTTATCACCCCCTCCCCACCTCCGCTGACTTTCACGCCGCTGAGCCCAGTCTCCGCCCTGGCGTTCGTCTGGCGCAGCGCCCGCCCGCTTTTCCGGACTCTCGGTGTCCGGCAGCGGAGGGACATGGCCGGACTGGCCGCTGTGGCCGACGTGCAGATCGACCCCGACGGGGTTTTCAAGTATATCCTGGTGAGGGTGAGCAAGAAGGGCGGCCCGGAGCACAAGGACATTGTGAGGGGCACCAAGACCGCCGAGTTTCACAGTGAGTTTCCAGGGCCCGGGCTTCTCTGCACAGCCTTCTGGTTCTCGGTCTGTAATACAGTTTTTGACGTGTGTTTAAAAAAAAAACTTGTCAGAAGTGCACTGAGGTCCTACACCTCCTCCCCCAGTGTCTGAGCCCGCTGACCATATACGGCGTTGCACAGGATCCATGTGCAAGGCCAAGGTTAGAGTTTCATGCTGGCAGCTCAACCCAAACTCAAACCAAAGCTGTTTCCAGACTTAGGGAGGAGTGAGAGGGGTCAAGTCAGGACGAAAAGTTAGACACCCTATTTAGGAATATAAGCTCAAGTGTTTCACAAACCTATCCACCTACAATCTGTCTAACCCAGCCCTGGGTACATTCAGTGATCCAGAGTCTGCTGCTTATTGAGGAAGACGTTTCCAAACACTAACAACCATCTGAAAAAATAACCTCTTCATTTCTGCCTTAAGTGGGATGCTTCTTATTTTTAAAATGTTATTGCTGCTGTTGAAGCTTCCTCAGAGAGAAACGTCCAGTCATCATCGATACTGTCATGTCCGCTCATGTCATTTATACTTTACCAGGATCCCTTCTACTTCCACTGATTCTATGGAAGAAGACTAATTATGAGAATCTGTTGTACTTAATTACCACACAAATATTTTTTCAACCAGTTAAACACTTTCTGCCTGCCCTAATATTTCCCAGTTTCAAAGTTTTCTTTTTTGATGCCAAGTCGAACTGGAGGCACTGTGCAGAGGGACGCAACAATGTATGAACTTTTGTCTACCTTTATACTGCATTAAGTGGTAGAGTATCAGCTTATTTTAATAGCTTGCAGATGGGAAACCACATTTTGATCACAAGAACAGAAGAAATAGGAGCTAGAGTAGACCAATCTGGCCCATCAAGCCTGCTCTGCCCCTTAGGATCGTGGCTGATCTTCTCATGGACTCAGCTCCACCTTCTTGCCCATTCACCATAACCCTTAATTCCCCTACTATTCAAAAATCTATCTTTGTCTTAAAAACATTCAATGAGGTAGCCTCAACTGCTTCACCGGGCAAGGAATTCTACAGATTCACAATTCTTTGGGTGAAGAAGTTCTTCCTCAATTCAGTCCTAAATCTGCTCCCCTTTCTTTTGAGACTGTGCCCCCTAGTTCTAGTTTCACCTGCCAGTGGAAACAACCTCCCTGCTTCTATCTTATCAATTCCCTTCATAATTTTAAATGTTTCTGTAAGATCCCTCCCCATTCTTCTACATTCCAGTGAGTATAGTCCCAGTCTCTCCTCACAAGGCAATTTTCTCAATTCTGGAATCAGCCTAGTGAATCTCCTCTGCACCCCCTCCAGTGCCAGTACATCCTTTCTCAAGGAGACCAAAACTATACATGGTATTCCAGGTGTGGCCTCACTAGCACCCTATACAGCTGCAGCATAGCCTCCCTATTTTTAAATTCCACCACTCTAGCAATGAAGGACAATATTCCATTTGTCTTCTTAACTCTGTGATTCATGCATAAGGACATCCAAATTCTTCTGCACAGCAGCATGCTGTAATTTTTCACCATTTAAGTAACAGTCCATTTTGTTGTTATTCCTACCAAAATGGATGACCTCACATTTACCAACATTGTACTGAATTTGCCAGACCCTTGCCCACTCACTAAACTGTCAAGTATTCAGAAAATGATGAAAGTGATTTTAAAAAAAAACTGAACTCCACACATCTGTATGTATGTAACTAACTGAACAGTGGTTTACAAATGTTGAAAGTGTTTAAAAGTTAACAAATGAAACATCATTGCTTCTTCTTGTTGGCCCTTCATGTTGATTTGTTTCCTCTTGCCTGGAGATGTATGTTTCAGTGGCAAATTGAATGCAGACATTACTGAAAGAATATGGACTAATTAAGGAATTGGTGTATTGATAGTAGTAAAATATTTACACCTTTCAGTCGGTGATAAGAGATGAAAATGCAATAGGATTTGTAGATATTTTCTAATTAATCTGTTTAGAGATTTTATGACATACCTCTGAGGCAAATCTGACCTGGACCCAGGCCTCCTGGCCTACAGGTAAGGACACTTCAACTGCACCATAAGGCCCCAATCAACTGGATTTGTAAGTCATTCCTGTGTCTGCTGTTTTAATGGATCAATTAATCAGGGAATTTTAAATGACTGACAACAGATAAGATTGCTCAACTGACTCATGAAGCATTTTTCCATTAATATATAATCCAGACTAAATGCACAATGCCAGTTATTAATACAGGCAATTGGCTGGAAATGTTACTCATCAAGATGGTATGGTTGAACTATTCACGTTCTGCACTTGTCAGACTGCAGCTTGATATGGCCTTTGAATTGTGTCAGTTTAGTTCCCACTGACTGCCTGACCTCAATATCACATTCAACTAATTTTTCACTGTAGATCCTTTGACGTAAGAGGTAAGGTTCTGAGAGAAATGTTCACAGAAACTTGTTGCCTTTAAGTACTGTCCTCCCTTGTTTACTGTTGTTTGATCCCCATTAGACATTGCTGGAGAAGATTCACATGTTTTGCACATAAGAGCTAGGAAAAGTTGGGCGTTGGCTACAAGCAAAAGTCCTTTCCCAGCAGAGACAAAACTATCTGAACAGCACAATAGTAATCATTCAGTCCATAAGAAATGAACGACTGTGTTCTAAGATGTTGAGATATGACATATGGGAAGTGGCTTTGTTGTTTTGACTTTGAGAAGAATGATAGATTTATGTAAATTACTTTAAAGATACTATTTGTACTACATATTCCATTTCTTTTCCAACATTACTTATTTCTTGGGTAGTGACCGACTTTCGTTTCACGTCGAAGGGACCAAGCTTTAGTGATTGGTGTTCTGAAAGGTGTAATGTTGAGGAAGTGAGAATTATCAGAAGAAAAAGTAGTCAGGGCTGATTTGTAAGCAAGATAATTGAAAAGCAAAATGCGAAGTTGGGAGAATGCAGAGTTTGGTGGAACACCGGTTAGAGGAATAAGTAAGTGAAGCAAATCAATTATACCACAGATGTTGTGATTTAAGAGCTGAGGGTAACTATTCTACTCCAACCATCCCAGTATCTCGGAATGCATAACTGAATAGAAACCTAACCACTGTGAGTTGCCATTACAATATTTTCTCATTGGTGCTCCTGTGTGTGTGTACTAGTGATGCAATGACATTTCTATGCCAAGGTATTTATGTCTTAAGTATTGAAAGATTCATGATGATTGGTCATTCTGTGAAGAGATATACAAGACTCATTAACATTTACTTTTCCATAACATTAGTTCCAGGAATATCTTGGGTTAGACTATTTAAATCTATAAAACAAGCAGGTTTGTTTGGTAGATGATGCAACTTTCTCTCATCTTGCTGCAGATAATATTTTTGAAAAACTGGCTCCTGAAATGGAAAAGCTGGAGCTGGAATGCAAGTGTCTGGGAGGTGGAAAAATTGATCACAACAGCAAGGAGAAAAAAATTCGTGTATTCGGTGTTTCCACGGTGAGTTACCTACTGCAATTCCTAAGGCACAATGCAAGATAACTTAAGTGTTGATAATAATGTTGCATTTCAGAAACTCCCTGTGTCATGAATAATTTACACTCCACTACCTTTACCTACCTTCCTTTTTTTTGTGCTTGTCATATACGTGTCAAAACTCAGGACCCAGTCCTTGCATCCTGAAGCTACCCATGCAAAATGGTTATCAGTTCATATTGTAATTTTCACAATAACTATTAGTTGATGCAATCCTTCAACCCTATCCATGTTTTTCTTGGCTGCTGCAGGGCATGTGTTGTAAACTCTAGGGTAAATATTTCATTAGTGCAGCTAATATGCAAAGAACAATCCCAGTGAACGCATGCAATCATAGAAGCTCCTGAGCTGCGCTTGTTTGTAGACCATGATCTGTGTCTTTTTATTTGAGGGGAGGGGAGCATTAAACGGTTGGTGCTCAGACGATGTAATAGCAAAGCATTTGGAAATCATGCCATAATTAAGCAAAGTCAGCATGCTTCAAAAGAGGGAAATCATGCCTGTATCATAATTATTTGTACAAGCAAGATCGATAAAGGTGAACCAGTAGATGCAATATTTTTGGATTTTCAAAAGTGTTTGAAAAGGCATTGCACATAAGGCTATTTAATAAGACGTGAACCCATGATGTTGGGGTGCTATATTACCATGGATGGATGATTGGCTAAGTAATACAAGATAGAGAATTGGGATAATGGAGGCATTTTAATGATCACAGCTGCAACTTGAGCACCACAAGGATTAGTTCAGGGCCAGAATTAATTACAATATATTAATGACTTGGATGAGGGAAGTTCACAGATGACTCAAAAATATTTGGGAAGGTAAGTGGTGAGGAAGAGTCTACAAAGTGGCATCGGTAGATTATGTGAGCAGACAAAAACTTTTTAGGTGGAATATGAGAATATGTGAGGTTGCGTACTTTGGCAAAAAGAATTTGGAATCTGGTGTTGAGTTGGTATATGGGAAGGCAAATAAACTGTTGGCCTTTAATTCAAAAGGAATGGTGTATATAAATAGAGAAGTCTTGATCAAACTATACAAGACACCAGTTAGTTCACACCTGGAATGCTGTGAGCTGTTTGTACCCTCATCTAAAGAAGATATATTAGTATTGGAAATGTTCACTATTCAGACCCAGGTATGGAGGAATTTTCTTATGCAAAGATGTTAGTAGGTTGGGCCTTTACTCATTGGGAGTTCAGAAGAATGAGAGCTGACCTTATTGAAACATGCATGTTTCTTGGGGGTTTGACAGGTTGTTTCCATTGTGGGAGAGTCTGGAACTAGAGGGCCTTTTCTTGGACTAAGGCATTGCCCATTTAAAACAGATATATAGAGGAATTTCATCTAACAGATGGTACTGAATCTGTAGCATTCTTTAGCACAGAAAGCCATGGGGACCGGATCATTAAATATGTTCAAGCTGAAATAGACAGATCCTTAATCAGTAAGGGAAGCAAGAGTTTGTGGGAAGGCAGTAAAGTGAATTTCATTAAATGGCAGATCAGACTCGATGGGCTGAGTGGCCTACTTCTCCTTCACCTTATAGTCTTCTAGAAGCAGCTCTTGACACCACATTTATATTAACCACAGTTGAGTCAGTCCTCCAGTACATGGTGCTTCTACTGCAATCAAAATATTTCTCAAACTTGCCTCTTGAATTTCAGGCTGCACTTAGGATAGCCCCAGATGATGCAGCTCTCCCTTAGACCCTTGGGAAACAATTGTCGTAACCTGTATTCTTAATGATTATGAGATAACAAGGTAGAGAGCTGGATGAACGCAGCAGGCCAAGCAGCATCAGAGGAGCAGGAAAACTGATGTTTCGGGCCTAGACCCTTCTTTATGATTATGCTTTGCAAGTAGCCTTTACATAAGAGAGATGATAAAACTGTGCCTGCATAGGAGGGCAGATGAGGAATGGTGGTGTGTCAAAAAGTAATTTAAAGGGCTAGAGCTGTTCCATCGCTGTACATCCAGTGTTCCTAAACCATCTTCACTTCCACTTTCTTGTAGTTCTTCAAATACTAACTTTATCATCTTTTGTACAGCTCCTTTTTCTATTCAGTGATGGATAAATACATGATGTGCAGTACATTTATGTTGTGTGATGTACAGCACTGAATTGTGTCTTGCCCAGCTGGTTTTATTAGCAGTGGGAGTTTGTGTGCTGGTTTGCTGCATGGATGCAATATGACTGGTGTTCAAACACCTGCCAGCTCGCTGGGTTTCTGCACACTACACCTCTACTAGTCTTCCTTGTCATGGTGCGAAACACTGGTCTTGCATTGAACTAGTCATGTCTCATACTACTTCCAAAAGGAAATCTGTTGTCCAAATGCACTTTTATCTTTTAAATGTACTCTCTTCCCATGATTATTTTTTATGGGAATACTTAAGTTCATTATCTGTGTTACGTGACATGAACATGAAACATGATAACTGGTTATGAGCTCAGAGGAGCAGTGCAGTTTCGACCCTTGCACTTCAATGTGGAGGTCAGTTCTTTAAATGGAGAACTGGACTTGAATTCTTCACCACCTGTGTAATTCTGTCCATGTGATCATGCTGATGTAAATCATGATGAGATTCTGCAAGTTCAGAAAACTAGTTGTGCAGTTGCACAGTTTCAGGCCATATTCCCTGACACAAATTGAACAAATCTCAATCTGCTTAGGTGAAGTTCAAACATTCCTTGAGTGAACTTCCTTTAACAATTGCTGGTGTTTACACATGCTGGCATGTTGACTTCCTCACTGTATTCTTTTCAAATTGTACAAAGTACTGATGCCCCAATTCTTTCCTGAAAGTACTGTATGTATGACCTCCACTTGCATAGCTTAGTGGGCAAGGATTCAAGAAATTTGTTGGGATACTCATTTTCTTGTGTTAGTTTGTCCCAACAACAAGGCTTACTATATCAGGTTATTTACAAGTTACATTGTGATTCTCTTTAGGTCCTGTGAGTGCCCGTTCAATTCAAACTAATTTATCAACTTTAAATCGTTGCTATCTTCTAACTGATTCTCAAAGATTGAGATTTGATTAATAAATGTAACACACTTCTGATATACAGTAGGTGTGGTATTCTTATTGCAGCTAGCAAAATAAATTGAAGCATTTTGACTTCACGGTGTGACCCACAATCATTATCCATTATTGCCATGACTTACCCATTTATCATCTAATTTAGATGTAGCCAGATTGATTCTCCAAGTTTCAACCTAAGCCAAGTAGTCAATGGAATCCCACTGGATGTCATAGATTTTACTACAAAAAAGGAAATCTTCAATATTTACATAGGCATTGTGAACTCACCAGTCCAGAAGGCTTGAGACCAAGTTGTTTCTGGATTATAGTTGTTCATCACCACCTTCTCAACAATTAAGAATGAGCAACAAACACTGGTTTTGCTGATGACACTCGCATCCCATGAAAGAACACAAACACAAGCACGTGAACTGAGAAACACAATAGATGTAAATATTTGAAGCAGTAATTTAAAAAAGTAGAATTAAATCAAAATTCCGTGGATGCTGGAAATCTGAGACAAACAAAGTTGGAGAAACCCAGCAGATCTGGTAGCATCTTTGGAGAGGAAAATAGAGTTAATGTTTTGAGTTTGGCATGACTACTCCAGACCTCCTGAATTTTCCCAGTAATTTTTTTAAAAAAGTTAACTTATCCAAGTTCTGTATCTTCTATGGTTCTGCTGTCAAAGTACTGTACTACAGTGATGCTGAGATTTGCTTGGGTCTGCTGAAAATTTTTCCAGACATTACCTAGTAGAGGTAACAAAATGTTTATGTGCAGTTACTAATTGTGAATACTAGCGCCACCACAGATATGTGCAGTGTTTTCTCACCTCTGCACCTGCAGCAGATAATAACTTTGTCAGGATGGATTTGTTACCAGTTTTATACATGTGGCTACAAAAAAACCACACGCTGACCTTGCTTTACCCAGAGTTGTGGAATTGATTGTATCTATGTAAAGCAGCTTTAAAGTTTCCTAATTTAAGTCTGCAATTAAAATGCACACTTCTGCCATCATTAACTACCAGGGTGAAGTTGAAGTGTTTTCTTGGTTTCTTTTTTTTTTGCTCCTTGCCCTACTGAAAGCAGACCAGCGCTATGCTAATGTTAACCAATGGCATTGCAGCAGTAAAAGCAAATGATTGTCATGCTGGTTCCTAGAAGGCCTGACATCACATGGAAGCAGAAAAAAAAGTTAACATTTCAAGTTGAGTATAACGTTTAGAACAGAATGGAGGTAGAAATGTGACATGTAGAGTAGAGAGTGGGAGAACTTAAATAACAAAGATGTCTTTCGGGAGGGGAAAAAGGCAAAGGGGTGTAGTAATGCTTGTAGTAAAAAAAAAAAGACCGGTCCAGATTTGATGATAATGGCAGAATAATGAACAACTGCGCCTGAAAGCAAAAGTATGAAAACAAGACATAAACAAGCATTTGACAAGGAATCAAAATGGAGGACAGAGTTCATGATCCAAAATTGTTCAACTGTGTTGAGTCCAGAGTTTGTAAAGTGCCCTAAGAAAGATGAGGTGCTGTTCCTCAAGCTTGCTTTGGGTTCCACTGGGACTGTGTAGAAGGCCTGGGACAAAGATGTGAGCATGATAGCAAGTTTAGAAATTAAAATGGCAAGCAACTGGAAGTTCAAGGTTGTGCCAGTAAACTGAGCTGAGGTGTTCAACAAAGCAGTCATCTAGTTTACGTTTGTCTTCCGAATGTGGAAGGGACTGCGTAGAGGCTTTGAAGTCTGTGCCTTATCCTGCCCGTAGCTGCTGTCTCCCTTATCAATTGTTTTGGTATCAAGCTCAGGAAATTTGGATGAACCTACTGAGTGATGCTATAATGCACAGCGAGAGTAAATATAATTGATAACCCACTGTTTTATTTGTCTTAGGGTTTTGGGAAAGCAGATCACGCCATCTCTGTGGA